ATGTGTATCGATCTTGTTTAACAAACGATTTTACAAATATACATGTTAGAATTTACCAAATCGACTTATTTAAAGCCTATATTTATTCATAGATTTGCTTTCATCTTATTGTTTGAAAAACTTTAAATAACCGACAAAGTGTCAATTGACTTGAATGTATTATAGATACTTCTTGTACTAAAAATAAAAATGGAATTTAAGTCACTGGTTTTTTAAAGGCTAGTAATGCCTTCTTTTTATGTGGGTTTCTTTGTTAGAGCAAGAGAGAAGTGGTAATTTTTGTTTGCTTACTGAACAAAAAAAGGGAGAATAAAATATATTTTCATATCAACAATCGTCATTCACGTCTGATAGGCGTATGATCTGTTTGCGACATTCAACAGGACAAACTTTGTTCCCAATTGTAGTGCAAACTAGGTTTACGGAGCTAAATAAGCTCAAAATAAATAATTAAGTTTTAAAACAGAATTACTACCACATACTTGAGTTCTCTGTTTTGTATATTGTACCGAATACGTTTCGTTTTTATCTTTGTCAACATATTTTCAGCCGGAAGTAGTTGAAATTTCCTACAATTAATTCACCATTTGATTTTTGAACCCGTTACATGATAAACTGGAGGTCATATTTCAATGAAGTTAAACTGAATTGCGTTTTTCTAACTTTAAGTGATTCGTATTAACTAAAAGATACTTAAAGGAGTTAAGCTAAGTTTATACCAACTAGCCAACGATATCAGCAATAGACTGTGATTTTTCTTCACCAAAATCAGTGATCATACAGTTAATCTTATCAATAAAATTACTTCTTATCTTCAAATTACAAAACAGTTGAACCATTGATACTAATCAGTGGTCATTTAGTTAAATTACATCTCTTTGACTACAAATTCAAACTCTCCATTGAAAATGATTTGACGAATAATAGTGATTTTCTTCTGCTATCTCTTTATATTGGGCATTTAATAAATACAACAGAAGATGAGTCATAATAACTAAATAGCTAACCCTATTTATCTTAGGCTCATTAAATACCAAACTGATACAATAGTTTAGCATTACCTAAAATAATAAAGTCGTGAAACTTAATGCTAATCATCTACTTATTAGTAACCTTATTCCAAATGAATCTATAGAAGTAAGAGTGGAATCCCGTGACTTGTAGAATAGACCAGATCAGAAGTAAGACATTAATTGGTCGATAATATCAGCTGAAAATGATATAATACTATGAACTGCCGGAAGGTTAAGATGTGATTAAATAAAACTTCCACTTTGGTATCTATTATAGACGTCGTTTAATGTTGTGAGTTTGATTTGAAAGTCTATCATCACCGGAAACATGTATATAGCAGACAGGTAAACAGTCGATTTTATTTTAATGTAGTAGATTAAAGTTCAAAATCTTCTGAAGAATACATTTATAATATTGCTGAAGTGATTCTTAATTGCGTTTTTTTTAAGTTACTTAGTAACAATACAGTACTATCCACAAACCTTTTCGTAAAATTATTAACAATGGACAACGAATAATCAGAAATTACATGTACTTTGAAGAGATAGAGTAAGAGGGAAAAAAAAGAATCAAAAACAATAAAAACAACAACATTTTCAACACGTTTCAAATTATACAATCATTATTGCGTGGGCAAATTATCGTATGTATGCATATTTGTTCATTTTGTTTTAAATGCGTAGGTGAATCACATGACCTTAAGCCTTTGTCAACTTATGTACTGTTTTAGGAAAAATGGAACTTCAAAATACACGTTGACATTTGAAAGCTTCTGCATAAATTAAGCATTCAAATACAATTCTCATTGAAATTATTAATTAATAAGCACATATCTGTTTCAAACTTGATTAAAACTCTTCCTAAGAATTGACTTTTAACAGAGTAACTTTTCATTTAATTGATGAATTTAAGTAAGTACATTTTTCCACAATCGCTGACGTTATACGGTAGTGACTTATTCGATACTGTATAGTTATTTATCCATAAAATGAACAAAACTGTTGGATTTATGGTCAGATAACGTTGGAATTTTACGATAATCAGATAATCTTTATTTTAAAATGGGAATATTTTATTGTGATTACTTAATATTTATATTTGGTTTTGGCGTTTTACATTCCTGGTGTTGGATAGTTTAAGTTCAAAGTGCCTATCGAAGGTAGAAACAAGTCGCTTACAATTATTCTACGAGTGAAAAATTAGTCTCTAAACATAAATTTGTGATTAGTTGTCTTAGGAAGTTTCACTGTCTACATATAAATATTTTCTTTGTTAGGCTAATCTAAGGGCATTTGGTTAAATATCCTTATGCAGGTGGAATGTCTAATTTTATTTGAGCCGATGTATCGGTTGACTGCCATTCGACTTGAGTGTTTTGCGTCTAGTAATTATCTGTTATTCCTAGAGTTGAAGTTATCTCGAATTTTAATATTTCCTGGAAAAATTTGGGTCCGTATTAGTCCGCATTGAAATAAGTCACAATATATTGTCTATTTAGTTTGGATTACGTAAAATCATCATGAATATCCAGTTGAGAGCATCGTAACAACAAAACATATTTAAAACTAAAACACTCCTAATTTTTTTCAAAAGCCATTGATGTAACTCTGATCTCTTGTTCTCTTTTAAAACCGTGGTATCATATAACAGTTTATTATATGAAATCCACGGTTGGCCCTTTGCTTGTTACATTCTGTAATAGTTATATTGCATATCATTGTATTGCTCTGATATTTTCTTCTATCATTTATTTTAATAAATCTATTTTTGTATTCATCCTTCATCCAAGTAGTTGATAAACTGAGCCACTGACAATATACTTTGATCACTAACCGACTCAAACATCAAACTAAAATAAAAAATTTTACCGTTTCAAGAGATTTTTTCAGACGATGGTTTCCTCTTCTTATCAATTAATTTTTTTTTTGTTTTTAATTATCGAAACATATTGATAGAACAAACTATTTTAAAGCTTAATTTTATTAAAACAAAAATTTACAAGTAAAGTGGGGGTTTCAAAACAAAAGTTTTCATTGAGATAAAAATAAGTTGTTTTAGTTTTGATGCAATGTAATTGCGAGAAAAAAAAATCAGAATGACAGATGGGGATGATAATATCACACAGCTGTAATAATAAACAAATTATCTCTACACGCCGGTTTTAAGGCTAAAAATACTTATGATATTCATAGACTGACATAAAAGCGAATAATCAGTAAAAAAAACATTTAACTTTCTGAATTCTTAGTTGGTTGTTCTACAGTTATTACAAACAGGTTACAAATATGAGGAATTATTTTTACACTTTTTTACTTTATTTCACAATGAGTGTTTATAAATTATATTATTATTATTGTTTTGTAAAGTATACAAATATTTAAATTAAGGTTAGGCTTTCGCACACAAGACCAAAGCTCCCGGGTTCGAATCCTGCGAGATGCAGGAGTCGTGGATGTGCACTGCTGATAAGTCCCGTACCAGAACGTAACGGCCGTCCAGTGCTTCCAGGTTTCCAATGGTGGTCTAACAATGATTAATTGATGATGTTAAATGTTTAAAAACACTAATCTCCTTAACTCTATTTGAAAATAACTTTCTTTTGTTAAGAATTTTAAATAGCCCTGTGATACAATATATCTAATTTTGAAAACACATATTCTTTGAATTTAAACAGTTGATTTCAAATTAATTATAATCGCCTTACATATTAAGACGGATATAAGTGAAGTGGTAAAATATAAGTTATGAAACATGCCCGCTAATTTAATGTTAAAGAAAAAACAAATTCGAATTGTTACTAGTATTAATTTTTAGTCTTTACGCATTCATTTCAATGAAATGATTTTGAAACGCCTATAGTACCGATCATGAAACCGAAGTGAATATGATACTTTTAACTAAACCACTTTCTGTTAGTCTAATTTGATCAATTTATTAAAGTTCTGTAAGCAATATTAAAATCATGAAAAATAAAAATAATTTTTACATGCTAAACTTTAATTGATAAGTGACTTCCACTGTTAATTACAACAAAATAAAATATTAAAAATAATTGATTTTTTTGAACATTTTGTCGTAATCTACCTAGGCTGATTTTCGACGATGATTTTTTTCAAAATTCAATATTACATCTCTTCGTCAACGTAGATCTCACAAATTTCAAATCACCATGTATTTATCGGTGAAATAGATGAAAATATAAGTTCTACCTATACCTATAGGCGAATAAGGCATTTTTGAAGGGAATGACGCATTCTTTTAAAATGGTAAATTTATGGAAGTATAATTCTAAGGATAATCAGATATTTGTTATTCTGTTACAATAAAAGTAATCTCTTTATGTGTTAGTAATCCACAAGTCTGACGTCACATTTTTTACAAATAATTCAAAAAACACTTTCACTTAGTCATTAAAGATATGTAACTGAGGTCAAAAAAAGACGTCGCTGACAAACAACAATCTCAAACTTTTCAACAATTAACAACAGGTTTGTAAGACACTACATCAAATACAATTATGGATGAGTTTTAAGCAGATTAGCTTCATTATGCCGAAGTTCTCTATTTTCTAGGGAAACCATAAACTGAAATAAAAACACTTTAATTATTACAGAAACGGACAGGTATGGCTGGATTATTTCTAACTCTCTCTAGCTTATTATCGAACACTACAGTTTGATAAAAAAATAATTATCTGTACTAACAATTAAACAAAATAATCCATATTATATACCAGTTTTTAGAAGGATAAAACGTTTAATTGATTCATATATTCATCAGACGAAGTAGATATATTATACTTACTGATTTTTAATTTGAAACTCTACGAAAAGATTAGGTTATCATGGTAAAAGGGATTTATTGTTCATCCGGATGAAGTCGCAAATCTTTTTTGTTGATTTATGCAATATAGTGAATAATTCATAAAGATTACTACTTTTTAAATATATCAAATGACCAAATATTATGTGTTAATTTTTTTCCAGGTCAAGAATTCAGAAACATTTTATATTTTTCTCAAGATCAGAGGCAAATACCATCATATGCTATGGAGAAGTCGAACGTACCATTTCCAAAATCTTCTCAGAAATCAACTACATATATTCCTGAAATCGGTGAACATGGAAAGACTCAGGGCTGCTTTACACCATCTTCATTTAGCTATGGTGAATCTAGTGTTTATCACTTTACTACTAGTCAGATTGAACAAGAATCTAGAACAACATCTTCATATACCTCTGCATGCGCAGCATCTGGAAGTTACACTCAGTTTCAACCAAGGCGATCATTTGAATTCGAAAGAGAAAAGTTCCCTTATCAAAGCAGAACACTTGAATATCCATCACTCTCTTCGTACAAATTCTTAAAACAAGAATCCTCCACATGTTCTGACCCGCCTACTTTTACTTCACAAAGCATCCCACCTATGGAAAGCAAAGGTATAAAATTGCCTGTATCTTTTATGAAACCGGAGGTGCATACTTTGCGAACACAAAAAGGATCACATTTACAAGAACATAGTCATACGCAGTTCTCTATTTCACCTACACAAAAACTCCTTCAAAGACACTATTCAGTTCCTGAAGGGCCGATACTTGAAAAGCCAGATATATATCATCTTTCACAACCGAAATCGGCTCCATCTGAACAAGACTATAGTGTATCATACTCCAAAGATTATTTTGATGTCTTTTCTATCAGACAGTCATCCAGACCATTAAGTACTGAAACTTTTGCGAGTTATATGGCAGATTTTAGTACATCTCCATCTCTCTCTATAGAGCCAGGGCCATCAACGATGATGTACAAAACATTTACTCCCTCTACTGCTACCCAACCTTCCACTTCAACAAGACAAAATGTGACTGGTGAATCTTCGGAAAAACGCCGATATTGCTGTCCCGAACTAGAATGTGGAAAACGATTTGCTCGCCCAGATGAACTTAAAAGGCATCACAGAATACACACTGGAACCAAACCATTTATGTGTAAATACTGTCCACGTTCGTTCGGTCGTTCTGATCACTTAAGAACACACACGCGTTCTCATACTGGTGAAAGACCATATACATGTGAGTCTTGTGGACGTAAATTCGCTCGATCCGACGAACGCACAAGACATAAGAAAGTTCACAGTTGTGGCGTCGTTAAAGATACTCAATTGGGTGAAAGCTCTTTTTCTGGCAAAACAACCCAGTTACCATGTCCACAAGAACAGATAGCCACATATTCACATGAACAGCTCTTAAGTACGTCAGTATCTGAAACTTCAACACAAGGATCATACTTAAGTTCTGTTATTTTCCAGCCATCTGTTTATCCACCGCTTCCCTGGCAAACGACTTCCATTGAATCTAACCCTAATATTCCACAACTCCACGAAATTCCAATGGGAACGTTATCTCCTTTACCATGTTGTCAACCAACACCGATGTCACGTTTGTTATATCCGAATATTACATCATCACAACCTATCAATACGTTGCCTGAATGGAAAACATATACAATTTCGCCACAGATCCATCCAGTTACAACAACCGATTCCACATAGTCAATAAATTACCATTTGTCATGTATGTATATGATAGATATGATATATATATTAGCTATGTTTCAAATAATGGTATTCACTAGAAAAGTAGTAGTAATTTCATTATGAAGAGTTTGTTTCAGATTCAAAACTGTAGTTTGCGTCTTTTGAATAACATACCACTTATTTTCTAAATAGCTTTGTTTTCTTAAGAATTATTTAGTTTTCTTTTCCTAATTGTTTTTCCGACTTTATTTTTTTAAATAACTCGATGTGATGTTGTTTAATAAATCGTTGCCTCTGTTCTTTCAATCAAATAATTCATTCCATTAAGTGAACTGAAAGAAACTTTCATGAACTATAAAATTATCCGAAATATTCCATTCCCACTAGATATTTAATTCTATCAAATTTATCTGTTCGAATATTACATGAAGACAAGTAACATAGATTCTATAGTTTACAAGTAAACTGAACAATAGGATGACATATTTCTCACTTGATTAACTCCTTCTATCACTACTATTATCACTGTATTTGTATAACTTGATCTTTGTAATGTGCAGACCCAATATTCATTGTCTCATTACTTCCTTGTGCCCATTGTGAAATTTAATCTTTCTTTTATTCTTGTTTACAGTTTAAAGAGAATTGCATTTAAAGACTAATGAAATACTTGTCTTTATTATTTACCCATATTTTATCCTGACTATTTCTAACTGCGTTTTTAATTGAGAACACGAATATGATTTTAAACAAAGTAATTCTATTTTGTTAAATTTTCATTCACTTACATTTAAATAACAGAGGACTAGGAAAAGATAGGTACCAAACCAAAAACAAATAAAGAATTATTATTTAGAAATGTTATTTTCACTATCAAAGTCACCGATAGAAACGCACACTTTAACCTTCTATTAGTTTTTTTTTCTTTGTCAGTAAAATATTTTTTTCATGGAAATAAATACAGATTTCGTAAAATTATATGCTTTTTTAATAAAGAATAAAATGAAACCGTGGTTAAAAAGCAGTTTTGCATTTATCTACACAATCTAATGTACAACTTGTGATTGATTAAAATAGTTGAGAAACGGACGTAAGAGTCGATAATTAGATGCATCACACTAAGCTTCTCATTGATAGGCACATGCCTAAACTTAGCTAATGGAATAATTCACCAAGTGTCTAGTAAGGAATATAGCGGATTTAAATAGAGTCAGGCAAATACTCGTATATTTGTCCTGAATCTACTACTAGAAAGGTTAATAAACAATAAATCCTTTAGTACTAGAACTAGTAGAAAACTCTAAGGTTACAAAATGAAAAGCTGGAAGAAAAACAGAAGAAATATTTACTCCAATAGGTGTCAAAACGTCCAGAGAAAACATGTTTATTGATAGTTTTTTGTATAGGTTGAAGACATCGTTGAGATCATTCAATCCGCAAATAGCGCCATCATCCAAGCACCTTACACCACATACCTGAAATCTAATCGAAATGTGACTGTATGGCAGTCGTATTGCTTCTTGGCAGCTTCTGAAAGCTTCTAGGGTTCATCCCAACATCTCTCCCTTTTGGAGTCTTTTGAATATAATTTCCTCCTGAGATTTACCTTTATTATTGGTACGGTGTTTTATTTACGATAAATTTCCTGTCGCGTTTGGGTCTCTTTTACCCGTTCTATACTGATTGCTCCTTTAGCTGTTAGAATGGATGTAGCGTAACCCCCATGTCATTAACTTATAGCATCCACAAACACCAAATAATTTTCCTCCATTTGGAGAGCCAGCCAAATTCTTTGCTAAGCATTTTACATTCCCGACTAATGCTGGAGTTAATATTTTTCAGGATTCTTGACAGTTTCTAGACACGACTAGCACCCATGGCACTCCTCTTCGACTTCATAATCCAATGACTTTCATTCAGGAGATAATGTCATTAGTCTTTCAAAGTGCTATCATTCTTTATGGCATAATTTATGGCTTCAAGAGTAACCTATAAAACTGAAACCGCGACCGGTGGGCGAACTTTGGTTTCAACTTCGATAGCTGCTATAAGTAGTTCTAAATCTACTGTAACTATTATTAATCGAAAGCTCTGCTAATTGTAGCCTAATCTCAAAAAATCCAGTGCTGAATTCTCTGTTGAATTTACTTTTTCATTCGTTGTCTCATCACTCCTGTATATAACGCAGCATACTTCCCTAATAACATAGGAGACCTAAACTCCAAGGTTGGGATGGAAATCACTAGATATGAGGACAACATGGAATGGCATGGACTGTGAGAAAGGAATTAAAGTGGGGAGAGATTCAGAAATCTGTATCCCTTCAACAACATGATTATACGAGTGCATCATATTCTCACACAAACTCATACCTGGAGCTACATGAGTCCCATATTATAACACTACGGATAATCAGATCTACCACATCAGCATAAGTGAACAGAAGGACCATAGAAGATGTCAGAAACGGAGAAGGTGGTATATATTTAGATCTTCACCTGGTGGTCTGCATGATTAGACTGAAGCTAAGGGAGCATTAGACAACAAAGCAAACAGATTCACAGACTTTCGTACGGACGTTCGGTGAAATACTGACAAATTTAACCAATCCAGAATAACTCTCAACAATAAGTTTCTAACCCTTCACGACCTACTCGAAGCAGGTGAAACTATTACGGAGAACGACTGAAAAGTAATTAAGCAGGAGAGAAGTAGAGCTTGTTGTGATGTGCTGGACTATCATAAAGAACAGACCATACTTGATTTTATCGACAAGAATCAAGGACGAATGTATGAGCAGACAGCAATCTACAACGGTCAAACGAGAGTAGGAAAAGCCAAGGCAGGTAGAATACATAAAAGCAAACGAGTAAGCAAAGAGGTGAGTTTGGGCTAATAAGTTAGAAGATATGGAAGACATAGCGATGACAGCAGAAAAATCTGCAAGAGAGGGAAACGTGTGGGAACTATATGAAAAAACGAAGAAGCTTACTGAAATATATCGTAAACCAAAACGACCAGTGAAAAGCAAGAGGGACAAAGTAATCACCAAAACCGAAGAATTGTGAAACAGGTAAGTACAGCACATTGAAGAACTGTCGAATAGGACAGCCGCACTAAACCCACCCAACATCGAAGCAGCGCTGATAGACCTCCTAATTAGTTTCGACACACCAACCATTGAAAAGACCAGTACGGTCATCTGACAAATCAAGAGCAGCAAAGAAGCAGGACCGGACAACATTCAAGCTGAGCCATTGAGAGCGGACAAGGCAGTAACTGCAGATATGCTCCACTCTCTCTTCAGTGAGATTTGAGATGAAGAACAAGTACCAACAGGCTGGAAAGAACGACACCTCATCAAGATACTGAAGAAACGAGATCTCAGAACGTGTGAGAACTATAGAGGCATCAGTCTTCTTTCAATACCAGGCAAAGTCTTCAACAGGATATTGTTAAACAGAATGAAAAACATCGTCGACACCCAAATTCGGGCTCATCAGGCTGGATTTCGTAAGGATCAACCGTGTGCAAACCAATTCACAACATTACGTATCACTGTGGAACAATCAGTTGAATGGAACTCACCACTCTACATCAACTTCGTTGACTACAATAAAGCATTTGATAGTGTAGACAGGACAACACTGTGGAGGCTTCTTCGACACTACGGGGAGCCTGAGAAAATAGTTAACATCATACAGAATTCTTATGATCAATTAAACGACAAGATCGTGCGTGGAGGACAGCTAACAGACTCTTTCGAGGTGAAGACCAGTGTCATACAAGGTTGCTTACTCTCACTCATTCACTTTCTCCAGGCGATCGGCTGCATTGTGAAGTCGTCATTATCTCTGTGGAAGCACAGAATACATTAGACAGCTCGGATGCTGCTGGACGATCTTTACAAAGAAGATGTTCTGGCTCTTCTGTCGCACACGCAACAACAAATGAAGGCGAAGATGACCACTGTAGTGACAGCCTTTGCAGCATTAGGTCTCAACATACAAAAAGGGAAAACAAAGATTTTTCGATATAACACAACTCACACCAACCAAATCGCACTTGATGGAGACGCAATGGAGAACGTTAAAACCTTTGCATATCTGAGCCGCATCACTGACGAGCTCGGTGTATCTGATGCAGATGTGAAGGGTGGGTGATGGCAAAGCAACGACAGCACTTCAGCAATTAAAGAACATCTGGAACACAAAACAACTACCAACCAACGTCAAAGTCAGAATCCGTTTACCACACACCAAGAACGACCTACTGTGGGAAAGAAATTACTAGATCCTGAGTGAGGAATAATTTAAAGAAAAGTGCTGGGGGTGAAATGGGACATACTTTGAGGAAACCACCCAACTGCACTATAAGCCAAGCTCTCACTTGGAATTCTCGGAGTTAAAGGAGAATGGGAAGACCGAAGAACACATTACGCCGAGAAATGGAGCGAAACATGATACGGATAAACAATAGTTGGACAGATCTAGGAAGCAAGACCCAGAAAAAGTAGGTTTGGGAGTGCTGGTCGGTGGCCTATTCTTGGCGAGAGGTAGCAAGTGAAAGTAAGTGGATGAAATCTCGTCTTCGACTTTACTTTTTATTTATGTATAACATAAAACACGTTACTGACGAAAGATTGAAATGAAAACCGGTATGCTTTACTGTGCGAACGAAATGAGAATAAAATATGTGACCAACTGTTAAGCAGTGACTTTATAAGCGTTCTTCAATTTCTGTAATCGGAAGTGAGCTCGTAGTGGAACACTTCTGCGAAGAAAACTCGACTGGTGAAAAATAAACATTTACTACTGTACTCGTTTTGTTTAACTGTACCAAAAAACACTTACTTGCACTCAACGTTCTTTTACGGGTTGCCGCTCTATACTAGTCTACTTTCTCCTTCAAATATATATTGAACCATGGATTTATTTCTAAAATTTGTGACGGGATAGTAATTAATATTTAGTGGTGATCGTAGTCAATATCCAACCTGTCACCATTACAAGCTATTTGAACGTTCGGCTAGAATCATTTACAATATACCGTTGCTAGATAATATGACAACTAAATTCTGATTTGGAACGCTCATGGCAAAACAAAAAGTGGAGGACCGATATACATATTGCACCAGAAATCGGACTCAAATATAACTTTTGAGGGCATATGCACGGAAGAGTCAATGACATATTTGGTTCGGGGATTCTAGTGATTGGGCTGTTCACGAAACTTAAAGACCATTTAGTATTCACTTGACAAAAAGCCGTTTTATTATGTGAGTATAGGGACCACATAATCCTACCTATGACGAAAAAAGTATGGTAAAACGGCATCCTGAATCCCATGTTTTTTCTTCCCCACGTCAGTGAATTGTTGAAACAGCTGGCAAATATCAGACGTGGTATTATTTACCAGTATACCATCAACTGTACATCCAGTCCATAAGAGCTTGAATAAGCAACGAGTTATGACTTGAAAATCACTGTATATTAGTCGATTCACCGAACATTTAAGTGCCTTGAAGGTGAATAATATTGGATTTTTACCTCATGTATAAGGGATCTCACAAACAAAAGTACATTCAACCAGTTGGTCCATAGCTGACAAAAGACACTGTAACACATACGTACATGTGCGGAGTGTGGGAACTAAGTTATCGACAAATATTTCCAAACTTCCTCACGATGAGCCTTAAAACCCTAACCCGACCCCTGTAGAATAGTTTCCAAGGAAGTGACAGTTTTCAATTCGCTCAGCTTCAAAAGAAGGACACTGATCTTGAACATAAGTTAACATCAGCAACCATGAAACTACGCATCAACTGGATGAGGAACGTTTGGCAAACCTGCTTGCTTTACTCATCACATCTCTAATTTTTTCTCGTCCGACTACAGATTCTTAGTGTTGGCGCGTCACAATGAGTTGGTCCACTCACCTCAAGTTCACTGGGCATTTTCACTTCATATTCTATTATCTGTCTCTGCGCACGAATGAATGAAATAAGTCCACCCAAGTAAAACCGTATTGGGCTATTAATTATCGCCGTCGCACAAACGGATTTAGGCAAAATGCAATAATGGAAATCAAAAGGAAGATTTATTTCATAGCGTATACAGTTACTCTTACAACCTAGAGTCAGATACTGGACAACTAAAATTGAAAGCTAATGTTCGATGCACTGCAAATGAATGTGATTACGACATGCAGATCCTTCATTTGCTGCAACAGATGTAGATCGAAACTTCTACATACGTAGGTTTTCAAACGCAATGCGTTCAGTTAAACCTGTTTTTGTTTAACTTCAAGCAACTAATCTATTTGCAAAACCCTTCCTGCCACTTATTTAACACTTTCTCCTGCGCTGCGACTGATTATGTTGGTCCATCATGGTCCCAAACAAAGAATTTTAAAGTTGTGAATTGCCATTTTAAATAATATATAGTCTTCACGAACTGTAGTAAAGATAATAGTAGCATCAACGTGCCGAAAGATGAGTACTCAGGACGAACCCTTACTCTGTTGACCTCCGTAACACACAAATAACGAACGTAGCCTACATGACTACAAAATAATCTTTGATCACTAACGACCAAAATAAACCATCCGGAAAGTAACCTTCGAAGGATGCGATTCGGAAGATCTGTGAGCTTCCTAGAGCATCTAAACGACTGATATATCTTAGAAGCCTAAATACTTCTCACTTTTTTCCAAGTTCTACAACACTGTATTTTCATATTTTTTATATTGTACATGCTTCAGTAACCTTGAGTTGAGAAATTACTCGGCGGATTTTCTGTATTCTCAGCAGTGGCCGAGGTTGGTTGTTGATGTGGTTAGGTGTAACTTACATGTGTTTCAGTACTTTAGTGTTTTTTTAATGTATGAAAGTCACGACGGTTGTTGAAAATAGTGTGAGAGAGTTTGCCACTCTTTTGGTGCACATCTTGACTTGCTAATTGCTCTGTTGCACATATATCAGCCGTTCGAACGATGAAGTGTGCTTTCGCGTCCAAACCTGTATAGTTCGTCGATATATATTTTTTATTTGAAGACTTTAATCTACGTAGATTTTGAATCTTTGACCGTAGTGTGCAGGTTTTTCACTTCGCATACATTTGCGTTATTTAGTGATAATTTCAAAAATACTCGTCTGGGTTTTTCTTTATCTCTTGATTCATAAGTCATTAGCAAACTATTTACGTGGGTAATTGTAGGTAATCTTTCGAAGAATAGGTAATATGTGTCGTTCAAGTTATAAACTGACGCGCAACATTCAATGACAATAACGACCTGAAATCTCACTTCTATAGTTGTGGTAGTTTTTCGACCAATCCTAAATCGTATGGTTTACGTTTTTAACCAACTGTGCATTTGAAAATCGTATACTTTGATTTCAAATCATCCCACATACTGCTAAATTAACCCCCCCCCCTTTTATGTTGGGATATCCCACCTACTTCCTAGATCAACTTTAGAAGCGTCTGTTGAGTGTTACACGTCGTTTTTCGGGAAGCTGTTGCAAGCAAATAAGATGCACGTTAAAGAGGATAAAAAGCCGCAAAAGTTTTTTTCATTGAGAGGGCAAATTGAAAGCCTCCAGCAGAGTCGCTTTATATCTCAAACACCATACGTTTTATGTTCAGTTCTACAGCAAAATATAACTAACTCGATATTTTTTCTACTTTCCGCCGATACCACACCAATTCACGTTTTTGCATTATGTGTTACTATCTCAACAGCTCGTATTGTTTAGGTATTTACCCTCCTTAATATACTACGTTTTTGGCCAAACATTTGTCACAGCCTTATTTTATTTCACTTCATTGCTCACTGTATTAACTTCAGTGACGTAATGTCAGCAAACGATGTATCTTCAGTGTGGATGCAAATAGCTATATGTTTGAAAAACATGGGGTGATTTCATTGTCAAACAGTCCCAGTCATCTAGTCGATTTGCACATTATAGCTTACCGCGATACATAGGTTCTAAGTGGGAAACAACTTTCTTGTTAGTTGATGGTGCCTGTTTGTGCAATAATAACTATGCTTACGGCCAAACAAACATAAGATCTGAAAACATCGTTATTAGCTGAAGAGTAGAAATATTTGCATGTGTTTGTAAAAATATACTCAGTCAGCTACAACGTAAAACTTCGTACGTACGTACCAGATCAGCACAGAGACGCAGTTGTCGATTCAGATCCCATTGTGGTAGATTTAGTACAGGTATTAGCAATAATGGAAAGATTAGGGTTCAAAGATATTATTCAAGAAGTAGAATCTAGTGAAATAAACGTAAAAGGGGAAAAATAAGGGTGATGTAGAATCCAGAGGATTAGTAGTTGAGAGAAGCCAAAGAACAGATGCACCTGCGCCATTTCAAACAATTTTGAGCCATATCTCGCGGACCCTAACCAGGTAGTCTACATTGCTCAGTCCAGCTGTCATTGACTTCACAAATTTGTGCCATGTCTTGGTCTAGCCGCCCCTAGTCAGCAGGTACGTGAAACCAAGCATTTTTAAACTGTGGGACTGACTGCACAGGAAATAAGGCTACTCAACACCACTACACTCTTGACTTATATTCAACTCGTCTACCCACATTTTTAAAGCGACATTCCTTATATATCTGCTGCCTTCACGCTTTTGTGAATAATTATTTTTCGAAGTATAAGTATAGAATGTTTTGGTTTTATGTGCGTCTAAAATTCGAGTCGGTTAGTTTAGTTATCTAAGTACACCGATTTCTACTATTTAAATCAACTGGGCTCGATATTTCTTGTTTATATATGTATAACTTGAGTTTATCGCTGACAGTTATAAACATCATCTTCATTAGTACCACAAGCCTATAAATAATCTTCCGCAATATTTTCTGCTCTGGTACTTAGTAAGTTCCAATTCTTAAACTGGAATGATAACAGAGGTTTACATTGATTTCCGATCGAATTGTATTGATATTCTACTTCTAACCCTACTGATTTGTGTAACTTGAATGTAACAATTTACTCAAATACTATTTTTCTTTTAGCTTGATACTGTCTGTTATCTAACTAATGGAATACCTGCCACCTCTTTCTTCGTCATTGTTTGTAATGCAAAATGCCAAACATGTGAGCATTAACGAAGATGGCGTTCGACGTTTAGTGGAAATGGTTGAGTTAAAGTAGTATTATTATTGGTGATTAAGATATGTGAAGAGCATTGCCCATTTAATATGAGGTCTTGGATCGATCAGGAACTAACACCTAGTGTTGCCGATGAACGATCGGTTGAATGGTAATTTTTACCACATTAATATCTGAAGTCATCTAGGATATTTGTAACTTCTTTGCTCAATTTCTCATTTTGGAGTAAGAGTCATGTTAATTTCGAAGTGTCATACTGCGATAAGATTTATACGGGTTACTGGGCTCTTTGTGCAGCAGTTAATCGAGCCATCGATGTACGTTCGAGCAACCTTAATCATTTGTGTTTTAGGAAGGAGTAGATTTACTGAATCCAAAAGTATACCAGAGTGTAACTGAAGAACAATTAAGATACATATTTCGCTCACATACGGCTGAGCCTATTCCATTGTTTGATGAAAGACTGAATGCTCTGAGAGATGCTGGAAAAACCTTACTGGAGAACTTCGATGGGTCATTTAAAAATGCTCTATCTTTGTGTGACAATTCTGCAGCCAAGCTTTTAAAATTGTTGTGTGATTATTTTCCTTCTTTCCGCGATTACGGTCTGTACAAAGGAAAACACGGTATTTATTTTCATTTCTTATCTTTTCAGTTTCATTCTTGAAACGTGCTCAGATTTTGGTTGGTGATTTGTGGTATTGTTTTGAGGGCAAAGGATTCGGGTACTTCCATGACATAGATGAGATAACTGCCTTTGCTGACTACAGGTACCAGCTTTCTCTACCGAAAAAATATGATTTAGAGTCCCGCAAGTGTTGAATTATTTTGGTGTTATAGAATACAGTGAAGATTTAGCAACAAAGATACATAATGGTATTGTTTTTTGATATAATTGTGGCTCTTTTCCATAGTAATTTTTTTATGCCTTTGTTAGCTTTAAATTTATTGTATTTAAATTATATCCTTCACACTCGTTTTCTAAAATTTTGCGTAAACCTGTTGCATACTCAATTTTGGGGTTCAGTGTGTTCTATTGTAAAGCTGTTGACTAATCAAATAACTTAAACAACGATAGTTAAGCAATTACAGTCAACGTTAAATAGGCTTTATTTGATTCTTTTGTTTTCATAAATAAAACAAAATTCTGCTCTTATTCAAAGGTAAAGGTATACCTCATTGAACTAGACTGAGTTGATGTGAAACTGTCATCACCTAGCTGATATTGTTTTCGTCTTCATCAAACACAGTTCATAATCACAAAAGTTTATATTTAAGCTTGTAATGAGAATGGTTTTCGAATAAAACACTTCTTGACGAAAGATGTTGGAGACTCGTTTCGAAACTCATTGAACTGCCATTTCTTTTAGCATCGACCCAACTAAAATCTAATAACACATACTGTGTGCAATTTTGTCATGTGGATATCCCTGAATTTCAACTAACTATAACAGATTGGATTCATATTCTGTCAACCTCACAATATTCGAATTTTATTTTGGAATATCTACAAAAAACAGTAAACGGCTGGTTAAACTACTTATGTATTCTTTATTTAGGTGAAGAAATTTCAAACGGCAGCGAACTAGAAATTGAAATTCGAGCAGCCACAATATTAGTTGTGCACGTAAGCAATTCCCGAATATTTTTAAATGGATGCTATGTAATATTAAGGTCAAATTCTGAAATCATCATGATGTGACTACCTATTTCTTAAATTAGGATAGCAATTTGAATGCTTCAGAGAAATGTTTTCATATTCTTAGACTTTTTTTACCTCAAAGAAATAACCGCAAAACGATAGTTGGAAATAATCATCATGTTCTGTTCGGAAACTGAATAACCAATTACTGATTTTCACTTATATTCGGTCTAATTTAATCACACTGGTTCAATCAGTGACACTGACCTAAAAATCAAATTGATAAAAATGTACTTGATAAATGAGTCGCCCCCTAAGATATCTGTCGTTTGTATTTTAGAAAGCTAATTCCCAGTTAGTTTTCTACCGCAAGATTTTTTATTTCAGACTGAATTTTAAACATTAAATTTCATTGAAAGGTTTCTTATGCTGATTTCTTTATCATGGTGCATACCTATTGTAAAGTAGAGTGCATCGTAAATTCCAAAACAGTCGGAAAAATAAAATAAACTTTGTTGAAAACATGTTCACTAGGTTTATTTAATGGATTTAGTTTATCCAACCTGGTTGTATAATAAGGAATCCATAGAATTACTGGAAGCTTTTTTTAAATAAAATGAGAATATTTCACATTTATTATTGTATTTGATTTTCTTCCCAGAACATTGTCAAATCATTACGCAGTAATAACATCAGCTGCAACTCGGTCGTGGTAGACAATTTCCTTTGGAACTATCGACGTTCTCATGCTGATGAAATCGATGCCAAAATTCCAATGCACAGGACACGTTGCATTTACTACTGATTTTATATATATATGTATGTATATATATAAATATATATATGGTGTAACAGATATTACGTTATTTATCTTTTTGTAATAAATTTTTGGAAAATCAAAATGAAAACTGTTGTCTAGTCTTCAAATGAAAATGTTTACAATAATCGGGTACCTTATCTATAGAGGACACTAAGAAACAATAGTTTCTAACAGTATCTCAGCTGTTGGCAGTTAATAGCTCGTTTCCCATTCAAGAATTTCGTAGGTTACTCATATTATATCATGAGTTTCTTCAGAGCATTTCTCACTTGTATCTGGATAACTGAGTTAACAGCACAAGTTAGATACTGCGTACAAGACAAAAATGATAATTCGGCTCATATGACTAAAAATCTTCGACTGAGGTTCTTTGACATTCTAATTCATCTTGTCCTTATACAATCTTAGTGAATTTACCTTCGCTCTGATTTCCCCGTTTTTCATGACGGCATTGAGATCTGACCTGACCAAATACGTTCAAATACTGATTTTGTTTATAGCATTGATGAGTCATCTAATGTAAAATGCGTTCAATTTGTGTCGATTGGTGTAATGTGCATGGGATTGTCACTAAGTTTCAGTGAGCAAATGAAAATCAGTGTCTGTTGTCATTCAATCGTTATATTCATCATTTGGCCAAAAGTACATTTAAGAATGCTGAATTTATAAATTCATTTACTAGCTGAAAATAGTCAGAATGTGTGCCATAATGTTAATTAAAGCTATAGATAAAAATACCTAAATAACAGTTAAAAGTACATTGTTGTTGACTTCCATTAGCGTAAATATAGGAGAAAACTAACCAAAAATTGCTGTACTCCATCCTATCTGTTCAAATTTTTAGGATTTATTCTTATATGTGAGCTACCGGCTGTTGATCTTAACTCAGGATGAAGGTATCTGGAAAACCATCGTTCCCTACGCTCTAATTTGGTCCGGACTAAGTACTATGATTGATATGGTTACAAACCTCTCAATGTCATCCGACGATCTAGCACATTTCAATCGGTGTTGACGATCCTTCACCTTTACTTTCAACTGTGTATATTTTGCCTACATAAATGTGTGCTTATCATTGTCGTGTCTGACTGAGGTTAATGTTTCACTCAGCGCTAAAAAAGGGACAGGATTGACTGATTGAGTTTAATAGCTTTTATGTTGTATTAAGTAAGAATACTCCACCTTAATAAGATGGAACTGGTGTGGGAAATATGTTTTTGTTATGCCTTATGCACTGGCAGATTGCAACCTAGATGCAATTAAGGATTAATCCTTCCGGCAGTTCAATAATCTGCCTGAAGTTTGTGCTGATGATATTGTCCAAGGAACAACAATGGCTTTGTGATTAAACTGAGAAACCTTTATTACTGTACAAATTTAACACACATCAACCGGAAGATTTATTTCATTAGTACAATTAATCATTCGTCCACTCTGGAGTCAAATCACAGGCCACTAAAGAAGCTTTTATTAACATGTTTACATAGGTCTCGGCTTCATAAAAAAAGAAAATCAATATTTGTGGGTCATGTAACGAATGTTGAACTTAATTACATATTTAAAGTAGGAAGTGGAACTTGAGTGTGTTAACCATCTTCGTTCCAAATTTACTTTTGGACATAATATATATTATCTCTACATTTTGACAAAGTCTCGTTCTTTAAGCTAGATGATCTAAATGTGGAGCTTTCATTTTCCTCCTTGGCAACATCATTAGCACAAACTTCAATCCCAAGATAGAGTAAATGACAGCTAGTAGATGCAACTATAGTCAACACTTTGTTATCTACAGCTAGACGGAGACTAACAATACAAAAATAAAGATTCAAGAATGCACTAAAGCTGTGTGTAATTGTTACAAGGCTTGGGCGAATGTAATCAGCATAGGAAACGCAGTGAATGTTATTGGTTTATCCAAGAACGTACCAGTGAGCAATACATCAATATATGTACAGCACACCGTGTGTTCAGAAAATAATAGAAATAATACTGGTTACTGAATGTCGAACAGTAGTATAAATAAATAAATGAAAATTAGTTGAATGAAATGGGATTAACAACAAAACGTAAACGAACTTCACAGCTTAAAATTTAAAAGAAATATTCAATATTGGAGTGAATTGCGACAATATGAATTCACGGTTTTAATATTACTTATATTTTTCAGCAAATAAGGAATTTCTGGGTTATACTGTCAGATTCGGACTCAGGGAAGGGTCAGATACTCAACAAGTTAAACCATAACCAATTATATATTTAAGTAAAAAAAGTACTTTTTCATCCTTTTATTGATACGTTTCTAACTGGAATAATAAGATTTAGACAATTACAATGTTTTTTTCGATTGCTTATAAAATAAACAAAATAGCAAACCTTTACAAATCTGTTTAATTCTTTTTCCATCGCATCAATTTCCAGTCTGTTTTTAATATTTAATTCCATTTGATCAATTGGTTGCGGTTTAGAAAGTTTAAGATTATGCATTTACCCTAAAACACATAAACTGAAATGAGCTGTGATTCTAATAGAGGTTTGTACACTAGTTTTTTTCAAGAAAGCATATAAACGTATACTGAAGCAGAATCAAGTTATCTGGTTTTTAATGCATCAAAACAGATCAATACACATAAAAGTAGCTTTAACTTTGATGATCCTTAGCGGAATCCAATTTCCATAGCTGAATGCTGAAACTTTTATTGCCTTTCTAATCATAATTAGCTTCGTAAACCTTTTACAGATGGGGGCTTTTATAATATGTTTGCAAGTGACTAACCCAGTTCGTTTTATTGAACTTGAACTTGGTTAACTTATGTTTATACACGTTCTGTCATTTTCTGCCCATTTATTTTGATGGTCTTCTTAGACTTACGGTTACTTATGATTTATCAAATTAATTATGGTTTGTTTCAATGTGTATGCTGATTTTCGGTTGATTTGAGTGTCACATTTTCATAAGTTGACTGATCATCTTTGCGTCATTTCTGTTTAAAACTAATATTTGATCAATTTATTTTGTAGACGTTAGCTGGCTTGTCTTATTTTCTCATTTCATGTTTTGGTTAACTCAAGAATGAGTGATGCACTTTTGCTAACTCATGAACAATGCATTTTCTGAAGTTTATCATCTACTGTATAATATTCCGTTTCGAGCTTGGTGTGTTTCTGAAGATTTTTGTCTCGGGTGAGGAGTAGGAATATATATTTTTCCTTGCTAACTTAAGTTTAATGGACGTAAAGAAGGCTGCGATGTGATAAGATATTGTTAGTTTACAGCTGTTGGCTTGGTCCTTAGGTCAGTTAACTAAATATTTCAATGTTCCTGAAATTTATCATGATGGATTGTAAGTCTGGTCACCAGGAAGTGAGAATTTTGTCCCATAACATAAGTTTTGAATGGTGCCGTTTACGTTCATTGTGCAATCAAGGGAGGTTTGAATCACTGAATTTCATTTGCTTCGTTTTGATAATTATTAATAGAGCAAGCTGCTAATTATTTGAGGAGAAATTATCATAATCCACTTCTACCTAAAGTGTTTGGAAATATATACGGAACAGACCTTGTACATTAAGGGTAATTTCTAGATTTTCCGTAATGAAACAAATGCTAATATTCGTTTCTCTTACCATAAATAATTTAGTACAACTAACATCAACATGCAGTGTAAGTAGTAACTTTAGACATCACGCACTAGAATTATAACTGGAAATTAAAAATACTGGGCGAACGACATCTGTTTACTTATATTAAATTGATGATTCTTCAAAATTATTCGAAATGATGTCCTAGAAATTGGTGTATCCATCGATTATGCTATGTGCAATAATACTGATAAGATGTAGCCAGCGAAGTTCAATCATGTTGGATGTCCGACATTTGTTCACTTCAGACAATGGATGGTGTTTGCGCAACATCATAAATTGATTGAAATTAGGCATATACACCACTATATGCAAGCCTAAGGATTTAAGCTTAAGCGTTTGCCTAAAAGATTCGAGGTTTCGCGTTCGATCTTAGGTGGAAGAGACATTGATAGGCACTGTTGAGGAGTCCTACATGAATTAGAAATAAATATCCTGTGCTTTTTGGTTTTTGATCGTTAGTTTAACTAAGATCGGCTTGTGATGTCAACTATAAAAATTTCACAATCTCTACAAACTCCCTTTTTTATTGATAAATTAACATGTATTTCATTTTCCTTACTATCATGTTTTTGCAATTCATTTTTCTTTATACACTGAATAAAAAATTACATTGTGTTTACATATTTGCAAGGAAAGAGTTATCATCGTAATTTTAATCAGTGATATTGTTAATGAAATTCTTGTTTTTATGATCAGTGAAGATAACAAAAGAAAAAACAGGATTAATTATTTATGTGAATCGATTTAATTCATTTATTCAGTTTTTTTTGTGGGGGATTGTTTGTGTTCGTAACAATTTTTTTTGAAAATTTAAAATTATAAAGATTAGAATACTGATTTATTGTAGAAAATGTGGTTATTCATTGAATAGAAAACAGATATGTATACAACCATATTTGGTTTTCAGTACTTTAGTGGGATTTACCATATTCGATTGACTGTAAAGAATACTACTTATCTAACAGTGCTATGCTTAATGGTTGGTCACTGTTTAATACACCTTTAGATGAATTGTAAGGGTGTCATGGCTACTTTGTCAACAGACGTCTCAATTGATAAAAACAAACGTTATCATTATTACCATTATTTCACTGTGTTTCATTATATTTTATAGCTTATGCTCGCATAATGTGTTTTTGGAATATGGACTCAGTTCTAAAAAAAATCACTCAGTTACTGTAAGACTTAAATTTATATCAGTTGTCTGATCTAAGTAAATTTATATTTGTGTAATTTGACTGGGTTTTATACATGATAAATATTAATTAAAAGGCGGCGTAAGCGCGATAAGTATAGTGCTAAAGTTTTGTATCCCTTACTAGGTAGTATATATTTATAAATAA